CTGCGAGCTCAGTGAGCCCCATGCATGCTTGGTGAATAAAATCCCCTTGCTTTTTGCATGAGAGAACGTCTCTTGGCGTCTTCCTTCATGCGGCGAGTGTCTCGACCCTAACAATTTTACTAAGGTATACAAACATAAACATGTTTATCTCAGAACAAGGAAGAAATACTTCCAACACATTGAGTTCTCTATCTGTGTAATTCCTGTTATGGGCTAGTATTTTCAGGTATTTTCCTTTATTGATTTTTCTGCATTGCTTTTGGTTTGAAGGAAATCATCAGCTAGTCATTATATTTTACCTCTGCATGATGACACAGATGTCCACTGATACAACTTCATTCTGGGGCATTAATTGTCTTTAATTAGTGTGAATGATTGCAGTTTTGTGGAACTTTATCTCCCGGCTCTAGCAATTTTATCCTTGTTCCCTCTGTGGAACAGCAGGTGAATTTTCTTGGTACTCAGAGTCAATCTTTCCAGCTGACACTGGAACATTCTTGTTCATCTTTTGATTCAAAGGCATGAGGAAGCTAAATTGCTCTGGTGTCAAATGAAATTCTGACTTCCCAGAGGAATTGATCTTTTTCTTTCTTCTTGAAGTATTCCTCCTTTGAGAATTAAAATATCTAAAACATTGGAGTGTAAAATACTTGAAGGAGAAAAAACCATGTGTTAGCATCTCAGTAGGTATAATGCTAAGTGATATCATTTAAAATTTCTTCTCTTGATTTCTGTATACTCTGGTTATTAGAGAGAGATATGATCCAAGCATAATAGCGGACACCTGTCATCTCAACACTTGGGTTATGATGCATAGATAGATGGATAGATAGTAGATAGATAGCAGTACAAGAAGGTCATTGACCAGATTGAATATAGAATATTGAATTCTGTTCATCATTTTGCAACTACAAATGAAATGACTAACTGCTTCTGTACTCAGACATCTAGAGAAGCTGCCACAACAATTTGACACTCACAGAATCACTCCAACAACATTTTACCACCAACCCAAATCCTTATGATTTCAAGGCTCTGAATTATTTCATACCAGGTAAGAGTCACAGTCAGGGTAGAGCCTACCCTTGTCCTCAGGGACTAAGGATAGACAGACATAACTGACCTCAAGCTTCCAATACATACAGACCTTGGCTATCTCTCTGGTTGCGAGTTTTCTATACACACAGTTTTCTTCCACTGATCCATGCTCAGGCCACTCACTGTCCCAAATCAATGGACAGATGTGAAATTTCTAGAGGTCAATGCCCCTAAGCACTTTGAAAATCAGATCAGCTGTGGTGTCCAAATTTTGTTGAGAATAATGTAAATAAAGTAAATTGACTGTGCATGTGAATAGGCACTAGGTTGAAGACATTATAGCACAGTCTCAGAAACGCAGTAGTAGTTACAACTGGATCCAAACAAATTGAGTTTTGATGAGTGCTCTGTGGTTGTAAGGTGTGTGACAGAATGGGTGGTCTGAATCAACTACTTGCCAGCAGAAAATCTACCACAGAAGAACCAACACAAATTAGCAATGCCTTGGCACTGCCCAGTGTCCTCAGAGATGGAAAACTAAATAGCTCCACTAAAATGTGGACATCTACATCAATGTACAGAATGTTGTCCGTTTACTTAGAATAAAAGGGTTTGCATGCACCAGAATAGGGAGGAGCTCTTCAAAATGAGATGCCCTAGAGACAAAACTGAAGGTAAGGGGAAGACCTCCAATCTTCCAAGGTGATAAATTCCAGGATTAACTCTTTGTGCACCTGAAAACTAAGGAGACTATGCAGTCAGTTGAGTTGTAATCAGTAGTTTCATTGAAAAAATTTAGTATGTAACCCATTCTGATATAGGTGTGCATAGAAAATAAGGTTGACTCCACGGAAACATAATACTGTGTGATCCGAAACATAAAAGATCATTAGAATCTCTGTGCTTGGGGCCACTGATGGAGATGCTA